AACAATATCATAAAACGAACTAAAATAATTTGAAAGGTGAAAGTAGACGATATCTTATTAGAATTGAAATAATTTGAAAATAATAAAAGTAGACATTCGTTAAAAAAGAAAAAATTCCCACCGTAAGGGGTTGCTAACGTGCGCAGTGTCAAAGTAAATGATAGTACATTGACTAATTGTAAGGCGTAAAAAATTTGGTCGGTAGAGTTGTACGTACGTACGTACGTACGTACGTACTCGCTGTCTGTAATTTCACGTGACTTGGAAGTTACATAAACGACCTATTTACACAAAGTATCAGCTGCCGGGTATAACATTAGTCCACCGAAAAAACAGCAATCAATTACAAGCTGACATTTCTACAAGCAAAAATCATGCTGTTGTGAAATTAGCGTCGTGAAATTCAACGGCGACCACGTGAGTTTTTCAAGCGGACGATACATCGAGAACGATTAAAACGAGTGAAGCCCGCGATTCATTCACAAAACTGTGATACACACATATTACGAGGCCGCGCGTAGGACGTTGATTCGGTTCAAGCCCGAACCTAGCCGATCACTGTTTACACTCGTCCGTTTATCAAACACTCGAGAAAGTCACTCTTACCGCGTCTTTCGATACGAGAGAACGAAACACACGCGTGTGCGCCAATTTCTCTGCCAACCGCGCAGAATTCAATCGCGAAGGCGCCACGTGAGAACGTGAGAAGCCGCGACTCTCATCCGACAATTCGAACTTAATTCGACAATTAAAATTTCCCTCGTATCTACTTCGAAACGTATTCATCGCGGGCGAACAATTGATATTTACTCACAGATTGTCGGTTTCTTTTACACGCAAACGTTTTCAACAACACGTACATGTATATAGGTTTACCTGCCTCTGTTCGTGCGCTCTAACGTTGAAGTAAAAATCGAAAGTAAGAGAAGAAAATCGATAAATTATCAAAAGGCATTTTCTTATTTTTTCAAGTTTTTCACAGAAAACAGACGTAGTAAATATCAACGCAGTAACAGTTGCTTTCACGCAAAGAAAAAAAAAAAAAAAGAGTTTGATCACTCGCCAATACCTGATACGGGAGTAGCGAGGAACGCTTGATTGGTGGCGACGAGTAACGAAACCAGCACAAACAAGGACCATGCGAGGACGATCATCCTGGATCGTAGTGATCACTGAGAAGCGGCTCGATCAGCTTGCCAAACACCGTGTTCGCCTCGAGCTCTCCACTACTACTACGGTTTTGTTTTCGCGCACCTGACCGACAATATGCACGCGCGAATATGTATTTTTCGGCTTGCCACGCCAACGTGTAAATATGCGCGTGTGTGTCGAAAGTTAGTTTTATAAACTCAGTCCTTGTCTCGGATTTACATACGAACGAACGAACGAACGAACACGTTTCTCTCGGTGAATCGGGCCGCCGGGCTCAGACTCGGCTTCGCCGACTTCTCCGACCAGTTAGCCAGCAGTGAACTGCTCGTGTTCCTGCCTTGGGCATCGTAATATACATAAAGTCGCCAGATAAGCCGCGGCTGACACCCCACCACGAGCCGCCCCGTCGTGGCACGGGTCGTCTCTCACTCTCTCGCTCGCTCTCCATCCAACAGCTTGAAATCCTTTTCTCTTCGTGGTCGACTCGGCCTGCTACGCCGCGCCGCGCCACTCGTACTCTCTTCCCTCTCTCGTTCTCGCGAGATTTCCTACGTCTCATCGAGTTTATACTCATGCATCGCATCTCTGGTTACACGTGTTCTTGCCGCGTGCACAATTTGCAGTTCGCAAACATCAACCGACCTATCGTGCTAAAACTATCGTTGGATTTCGCTCGTCGCTCTCTCGCCTTCGCAACAGCCTCTGATTCTACTGTGCGGACTCTTTCGGTGCTCTGGATTGCCAAATGTAGGTGATCGCGATCGAAGTTTCGATGTGGGAAATATTTTAGTTAGTTACGAACTAGCAGCAATTTGTCGTTCTTTTTGGAGTATCGTGTGAGAGTAACGACAGCGATGGACAACGCCTTCATCAACTCCTTGTATTCGTCTCGGATAAGCACGTTCGAAAGGTTGGAGCTTCCACGCCACAAGCCCTGGTTGATCAGTTTGTTCTTTCTAGTGATTTGGATGACGACGCTGATCATGCGTCTTTGCTTCTACCTTTTCGACTACTCGCGCATAATCCAGGTAAAGAAAATTCTGAAGATTTCTCTCCAATTTCTCGAGTCTCGTTCTCTGCAATTCAAACTAGTGGCTAACTATCGAGCCTGCGAGCTCTTGCCCCTACTTTCTTGATCGCTAGCGCTATCCCTTTCACTGCATCGATCTCTCCACTACATTGAAATTTCCTCGCCGTGTACGTAACTGACCAACAGTCAGAACCGAAACTGG